GTTACACCATTACACCCCTTGTCATCAGCGTAGATTTGTTAGCGCTCGTGTATCATTCGCACACTGGTGTCCGTACCAAGCATGTTAGCCCTTGTCTGCAACTACCCTGCTCGTGCTAGTCCTAGTCGATTCTGTCTTGTCCCTATAGCCCAGTGCTAAATGGTCAACTCGCGTGGGCGGCGCTCCTTTGGTTTCTGTCCGCTGCGCGTTCACCCGATCTTCCAGCTACCACCACATTTATTGGCACCAAGCAAGCACAAAAACGCTTGGATAGTGAAGCGACGCGCTGAAGCCATTGGAGTGGATTCAACAACATAAATACCGAATCCGATCTGCATTACCGCTCTAAATAGATTGGACATCAACCAACCAAATGCCAAACTCAACGCTTACCTAGCCTGAAACCTACAGTCAGTTTCGTGCACCAAGCTGATGCAACTCACAGAGGAGCGGGATCTAGCCGGTATAAAGGAGCAGCAGGACAAAACAATCAAAAAGTCAAAATTACCACCAGCGCTTATGAGCTGATTACATATGAGGACAGGGTTATGAAATCGCGAACGGGGTCCCCAGTTCGTAGTCCGTGCGACTTAGATGGAAATTGCGTGTGGGATTCTTAACTGAAAAAGAAGAACGCGACTTTAGAATAGCAAAAAGTGCCTAAAGGTATGACGGATCATGCCCATGGAAGAGTGAACCTTGTCAACGTAGTCGGTGGCCAGAGTGTGAAGATTATCGTCGGTAGTAGGCGCGAAATCATTGTTTTCAAACTAGCGTTTGGTGGACTAGGGAAAGTGATGCATTTGGACGCGTCAGACCGAAACTCTTACGGGAAAGCACGGACTGCAACACTGTCAAACGAGCAAATTATCCATTAAGCATACTGTACTCCAGCATACTCAAGTCTTCACTGAACCGTCCTTCTTTGTATGCCTCACTATTTTGAATTTTCGGTGCTTTAATCTAACTTGCATGCTTCGCTCAATACACCCATGATGACTTTCTAAGTATCCTCGTGATAATCATCTGTTCATGTTACTGTATCTTTTCACTGGATTTACCTTTCCGTCGCACTTTGCTTTAGTGAGCACTGATTCGGTAGCAGTTTGTGCTGGCACAGGGGTTTCGACCTACAGTTACTGCAGCTGGTCGTGACTTCGTTTACGCCAGTCTTCGCGTTTACTGATCAACATACAGACTGTCAATCGCGGTTTCTCTGTTTTCCCCATCAGGGCTTATTGGCCACCGGTTTCTCATCATTTACGCACTTTAAATGCTTTTTTTCTTACCAGTTTTCACTTGAATGACCCTACTTCGCATTGGTTCACTTGTGCAATGCGTCTGTGCGGAAACCATAGGTTTTTAATTTATTTATTAAGCGCCTGTGTATAGTAGCGCCCTGTCTCAGAAATATCGCTCCAAGTTCGCTTGAAACTTGCGATCATTTCCTTCCACCTTGCTGCGTGCCTGACGTTGGTCATGGTCAGTCCTTGCACAGACCACAACCATTATAAAATTATCTCCACCGAACGGCCACAACCATTGGCGCAATCGCCATATCTTAAGTTCTGTGTGGGTCGTAATGCGCAAGTCGAGTTCAGTTGAACAACTATGGTCCGAGCACCGAATTGCGGTGGATCCAATTGCCACAACTCACACCGTAGGAATAACAATAAATAACACCGGTAGGATGGTGGGGTTGGGTGCAAGTAGAATGCAGACAAAGTGAAAACAAGGGGAATACGTTAGACTAATCAGAATAGAACGAAGATTAGCAACCGGAAACGTCACTGGCTTCGGGACTGCGCCATCTCTGACAGGGTCTCCAACCATTGGTGTGGACCGTCCCAAGGTCGCCATCCAGGAAGTCAGCATACACCAAGCTGACCGAGTCTCTCAGTCAATTTCTTCAAGCTTCTGTGCCATGTCATGCATTGGCCACCTCGATGTTTCGCCCAACTTGGTGCAGCCTCGGCGTATAATGCACGCCGAGGAAGCTGATCAACGGACATGCGGAGACATAGCCTAACCAACGCAAGCGATTAAGATTTATGCGCAAGGACTTCAGCAGATACCAAGAGATTCTTAATAGCGTTCCAAGCACTTTTGGAACTCTGTTCCAATTCCAAAGTTGATGAAGCGCCTACCAATGGGCTGTCGCTGATGGTATAAATCGGGATAATTGCGCGGCCGCTCCCAAGCACGACCGCAGCTGCTTCCCCTTTTTTTCTGGTGCCGATGCATTATTAACTTGTGCTCTAGTCTTTTCTCCTGATGGACGTAGCCCATCTCGTGACAAACGATATCCAAGGAAACGTACGCCTGAAGGAGAGAATTCACACTACTTTTTAAACAAGTCCGGAATCTGACAATCTTTTCGGAACTACATCTAAGGCGTGTAGTTGTTCATCTGTTGTGCGTCCAAGTATCAAGATGTAATCCGAATAGACGCATGTATTTGGTATATTATTCACCAGTGAGTCAATAATACGTTGGAAGATGGCTGGCGCAGAACTTACTGTAACTGGCGTGCGTATGTAATGAAATAACCAGAGGTGTGCATTGATGGTGATGTAGACACGTGAGTCCTCGTCGAGTTCGATCTGTTGGTAGGCGTGACTGAGGTGTAGTTTAGTGAGAAGTTCGCCACATGAGACGGAAGCATAAGTATCTTCAATCTTTGGCAGTCGGTATCTTTCTTGCCGTAGTGCCTGGTTTGATGTAACCTTGTAGACCCCACAGACCGTTATTGTACCACCGCTCTACAATACAAGCACTATAGGGGCTGCTCAATCGGAATAATGGACTGGTTCAGTTGTACCCTCTTACTGCATTCCGTCTAGCTCACTCTCGACTTTGTCCCGAAGAGCATAAGGTACTACGCGCTTTCCGATGTCTCGGTGCTGTCTGTGGTTTTAGTATCAAATCTGCCGTCCAATTCTTCAACAACCCTGGTTTGGTTTGATCAAACAAGGCTGGATATTTGTATGGTCAAGTTTGGACTACACGTTGTGTGATTGGATTGCGACGCGCAATCTCAATGTAATGGAGGACTGTGGTTGCCCACCGTGACCCGGTAGGCAAAGGGGTAGTAGTGTGGGCTACTATTCCAATGGTCGCGGGATCGAGGCCTGCTGTCTCCACCTGATGAGATGAAATTACATCGAAACGCGTCGTGGTTGTGCAGTGTTTTCGGGTGGGCAACACCCAATTTCCAAGGCTGGATATTTTTTCAAAATCCAGGAGAGTCGCGGATGAGTCTCCAAAACCTGGACATTTAACATAATGCTATGAAGACGTTTAATCCCATCGCCGCCAAGTATGTTAAGGCTGGGTCCCCCAGAAACGTACAACCGGATGTGACCCGTCTAGTTGCGGCAGGATATGCTTTCAAAACACTCATCAACTGTCCAGTGTAAGACCCTAGTTGTATTTCCGGGCAATCAAACTTTGGCCATTGAGAAAGTGCCTCAGGTCGTATCAACGTAACTGCGGAACCGGTATCAGTTTCGAAATCTACAGGTTGCTCTTACTTGGATAGGCACGATGATTGATTTCTCCGCTGAGATATTGTGATTAAAAACTTTTGTTTGTGCAATTCTGGTTTAACTCCTCGGTGGTCTGATTTATGGTTTTGTGCTTTCTCTGTGCAGCAGAATTTCGTTTGGAAAACATACTTTCAGCACACGTCCTCTTTCCCCACAAAATCCGTATACCGAATGAAGATGCTGACAGCCGCTTGTATACTGCTTACCACAGCTGTAACAACGGTTATCTGCGTTGTACGTAGTGAGACAACGTGTGATTACTTTGAGTCTGAGAGACTTTATGTACTTTTTACGAAAGTATCTGCTCGTACGAGGAGAAGGCCGTTAGTTCCTGAACAGGATTGGCACGTTGTCGAACTATTTTACAGGCTCTCTCAAGTCAGGGTCTTCTCCTCTTCCGATAACGGGTGCTCTCGTGTTTTCCCGCCAAGAACACCGACAATTAATGCCTGCGAAAACATTGCTGCTTCGATGTGGGTTAGCCTGATCTGATTGTAAACACGGTCAGGAGCCGGGAAATAAACACATTTACAGTTTCGTTCTGCTGCCAACGCGTGGTGTTAAATTTGTAACGTGCTGTAAACACGTATGACTTTTCACCCTACAGTCGGTCAAGAGAGTAGAAAACAGTTTGTAAGCCTTGATTCGTGTGAGGTTGCAGGATATCAATGTGTTACTGCCCCTCGTTGCCCAGGTGGTGACGCAGTAAATTGCTTTTGATGCATCATCCATTGTATCGTTAGCGTCAAAGAGAACAAGTGGTTCCACGTAAGTAGTGAAGTTAGTTATCCCCTGCAGCCATTGTTTCTTAGTAGACCTTTCCTTGAAATGTTTCCAAAACGGCTGAGGTGAAGTATTTGAATTCGCCATTGGTGATGTTAATAATCTCCGTTGTCCATTTGTTACGTCGAGATGAAATCTGGAAACACGGCTACGTAGTAAGACAAGTATTTGAGTAAATGGCAAGAATAACTATACCAAAAAGCGAACGTCGCGTAGCTGAAAGTTGTAGGCGTCACATGGAAGCTGAACCAAAATCACCAGCTAATTGCTACAGCAAACAGGCCAATATCCGCAGTCTACACACAAGTACACACGCACGCGACAAGTGCATGGCACATTGTACCATTCTCGTAGTGGGACTTGTCAGTAGCACACATCCGCCGGATCCCAATGGATCTGAACTTCGGCTTTACTCCCACGAGCAACTTACTACACATTCTGTCGAAGAGGCCTTATACAACTGATGTGAGCATTAACCTCAAACCGCGTTGTTCCCCAGTTTCTCCTACATCTTCACTGTGGTAGTCCAGGTATACTTCGTATCTATTACAGTATATTGCTTTTGTTTTCTCCTTGTACACTTTATAATCACCTAGACTTCATCTAGTTTACAAAACTTGGTCTTTTTCTACAACTCAGATTATAATCTGCAAAATAATTGTATTTTAGTCACCTCGAGCTCAGGATGCTCCACACTCCAACTCTTCACCCGGCGTGGCATCCAGTCTCCCACATTCAGTATCCAGGGAAGTATGTGATCTGATGGATTCTACACTCGAATGGTTCCTTGGAGAGTCGGAATTCCGTCGAAAGCTGGATGATTTGATGATGCAGTTTGAGCGTTTGAAATTGAGTCAGCAAGAATTTACCTGCTTGAAATTTCTCGCACTTTTCAATCCGGCTAAGCATGGTACGTTTGACCGAGATTTTCAAGGGGCTTGCTCTGTTTTGCACCTCTGCTTCACTTTCTCTCTTCCGAAACCGTATACCTTGAACAGGCGAACTTACTTGCTAGAGACTGCCACTGACCTCGCTGCCACTGCTATCGACACTCGTAATTCCTCCATCAAACAAAGAGTCTCATTTCACATTGGTTCGTTTAATTTCCACGCTTTGGGCCAGGTCGGCCAATAGGCCGCGTTAATTCTCACTTGTCCCTATCCTCATATTGATGTGTTTTGTCTCCGAAACGCGCACATACATGACAAGTGCTTTCTGACGAACCTTCGAATCCCTGATTCTGAATCTGTTGACAATAACTACACACTTTTTCATAGCCATGGATTCCACCGTGTCCGGAAGAAAGTAAGAATTGCCTAGAAAATCCACTATTTTAACGATTAATCAATTATTAACGATTATCCCATCGATTTCGAACCTTCTGGAATGTTCTAAGTTCTGCACCTGACCACTTGACATCTCGGCCAAAGCTATGCGGAATCACTAACCTTGGTAGTTGAACTTCCGATTCCAGAATTCGAAAGTCAACAAGAGACCTATAAGTACAGCCAAGGTCTGCGATATTTGTGCAATGTTTGTTAACGACGGTTAATAAGTTACTTTGTCAAGGTCATTGGTGTCCTGCTTTTTCCTTCGATTGGGCTACAATTTTTGTGAAGTCGTAAAGTACCAATTTCAGTATCGGTTCAAGTGAGGAGCCTTTAACACGCTGAACTTCGCTACACTCTCTCCATCACATGCCTACCATTATTATGTTATTATCCCATCTTACTTAAGTAGAAAGAGTGAGTGCGATCCATGCGCGCACTCCAACATGATGAGAATCCAAGCACATGCTGCAAATCGGTCGGCAATTTTGGGCTGATGTGCACCATCTATAGCTGATGGAAATGTAGGGTCCAGGTCATGGAGGAATTCGTTGGGCGCCAGGTGACGCGATGTGAACGTTCATGCTAGAGAGTAGTGCTTCTCATGTAAAGGCTGTAGTCAACACCTATTTGCAGGAGTCAATCACCCTTGTCTGCTCAACCTGCATTCTCTCCCAGATGTTGTTCAGAGTCTAAAAGATGATCAACTTGGGCATTCATGTTCTAAGCAGCGTTCACGATCTCAGCATTTTTCACCATGCGAAGATGATAGGTTCAGGATAGAAATCATTTTTCCTTACTGCAGTCGGTAGTGGCATACAAGAGAGTTGTGTTTATTAACTCCAGTGGAGTTTCGAAGTCAAACCGCGCACACGCTGCTTTTCACTGGCATCTAATCGAGTAGATTATCTTCGGCATGTTTACTGAGGGAGATATCAACACTGCATATACCTTGCGTCATTGACTCTGTATCACCAGAGACGCGAGGGTGTATTTATTGTCGGCAGATTCGGAATCAAAGGCTCGAAGACTTCTTACGATGCAGTTTTCTCGTATGCGTCTCATGTAGACACAGCACGCATCAATTCCAAGAGAGGGAAGAATGAGTCAGCGCTGCCTGTTGGCTGCTCTGACCTTAGAAGAACCAGCGTGGAATAAAACTCTGTTTGATGGAAGAACTACCTGTATCACTGGCACCAGTTGGAAGTCAGCAACAGTCCTTCACTAATTAGGCAAGGAAAAAGGAGATTGGATATCGTCCATAATATTTTGCCTCGCTTTGAATTTGCCGGCTTATCTTTTCTACACTTGATACCTTGCCGACAGTGATACAACTTTTGTTATTTAAACTTGCGCATTTCTCCATTGCTCTTTATAACTTCATATGGGTAGACTTGTTCTTTGTCTCCGCTAGGCCCTGCTCAGAATGTGTGTAAGATTTGCCCCGCCCACTTTGTTTTTCCTTTTTTCCTTCGCGACCGTTTGATGTAGGACTTTTATGCTGCTTCATCGCCTATTCACGATCGTCAACCTCAGTTTTCCTTTCCTTGGCTATTCTTCCGCTCTCGCACACGCAAGCACTCTGCCACGCAGATGTGTGTGAATCCGTAACTCATCAGTTACTGAACAGAGCAAGGTGGGGACTTTCAATCATGAACCTGTAACTAATGCCTACGGGCACGAGTCTGACACCACACGGCTTCGACATCTGGATACGACTTCATCGGCATGTAACTTCCCAATTGAACTGCAGCCTCCCATTTTTCATCATGTTCCGATGACTGTGGGATTAAAGGCCTGCACGTTATACTAATTGCCTTGGGCAGACGTCCAGTGAGCGTTGTTTGGAGTGACTTCGGCTGGTTCGCTTTTCTGGTTCTGGCACGATGCTCAGCGGTCGAACCTTTACACGGCGATTTTTAACTGACTGTTTTGTACTTTGACGTATCCGTTTTGTGTTCACTTACAACGACACACAGTCTCAACTTGAACATCCAATCACCCCGAATGCAAAGTTGATGAGTAGACAGGTGTTAAGTGTTTCTCACTTCCAACACCGCAGTTTTATTCTTGTTTGGACTCTTCAGATAGTAGTGACAGCTGGAGCTGCGAATCGAATTCGGGAGGAGGATGCTTAACACAGCGAATAAGCATCCTCTGCGACATCCATTGTCTGTCTATTTCCACACATTTATAGTTTTGAGCTTCCGTTTGCTTAGAAGGATATCCCGATCATTTTAATCACTGGATCTTATCTGGAGTGGATAAAGTTGAGAGTCGTTCGCTGTCAAAACTGCGTCCCATGACCAGTTTCGTCATCGCACTCTTCACTCTCAACAAGGACTGACCTTCGCTCCAAACGGATTCGAAATTCAGATTGCGATTTTTTAACAGCCGAAACCCGCCGCATGTGCTCTCCACCCAAGCACGACTAAGTTCTGCGATTTTTCCTCCATACGAATGTCTGGTGTTGTCCCATTTCCTTTCTTTTTGATCCAACTTTATTACCCAAACACAGTTTTTGATTCTGATTGAGCCACTTATTTGTTGCGCCGTTATTTTCTCACTTATATACTTTCTTTCATCCAGATACTCGCATGATTCGTCAATGTAACATGCATTTTGTGTCCCTGTCTATTTTTCCCCTGGCTTTCAGATATGTCACTCAATTTCAGCCAATCCTACGTTATCAGCGTGCAGGGCAAGCTCTGTCGCTTCTTACTTCGCCAATCTCGACGCATCTCGCGTGCACTTGTCTGTACTTCATCACAGAATGTCAGTGCATCTTCTTACTGGACTTTGGCCTCATCTAGTCTTCAATCTTCCATGGGCGTCAGTGCGCTTCATTGCACCGCGACAGACAGATTTGCAAAACTTTTGCTGCAGTTGGCGGAAGTGAAATACCTTGCTTTTCAGCTGGAAAGTTTCCTTCTGACTCGATATCGAACAGGGAAAATTCCCCACGAGAGTTTGCTCACTGAAATGTTGCTCACCAAGCGGTCTCGCCCCCTTATCGTCACCTATACTCACACACATCCATCGAACGGAACCGATCTTGGTCCACCAGCCACCACCACGAAACCGACAACAGCCCCCATGTCCTCAGGTCCTTTGGCTAATCTCTCTGCCTCAGCCAATCAGTACTCCTCCGTGGATCCCAATTCCCTCGCTCACCTGTGTCCTTCTGCTACTCCCTTAGGCTGCTCCAGCACTGACACTCGATTACCCCACTTATCTGCCCCATTTAGTTCATTTGATGATTCTGTTATCCCAACCTCTGTGCTCTCGTGAATCTTCGCAGACGCTTGTTTGCGCCATCACTGCTGCCTTACTCCGCGTTGACCATCAGGGACATCCACCACTCTTCCTCTTATAGATTTGGTTCCAACCGATGGAAACCATGTTCCCCTTCTTCTTGGCCGGTAGTCTTCCTCCTAGTCATCATCTACGTCGGACCAATGTCACCTCTTTTACGCACTCCTCGGCTGTGACTGATCATTCATTCAAACGCACATCGTTTGCTACTACGCGGCCGTTCTACTCAGCTACTATCCCTCTGCTCCTGCGTATGTCCGTCCGTATTCGTGAGATCGACACATTATTACTCAGCTCTCTGGGCAATCTACCTCACTCCTCTTCCAACCATTTTGCTCTTCGTCTTGAGGACTCTTACATTCGCACCCCGATTTGCCTTGTATGCTTTTTTAAATGATTCCTTCACATTTACTCTGGTTTCTTCATCCAGATCCAAGCTGATCCCACAGATTTTACATTCAGCCGTCCTTGGAACGTGTACAAAGCATGCTTTTATATATCTTTGTTGCCGCTGGTTGTTGTCAAACCTTTGACGGTACACCGATCAGGTTTTCCTTGTCGATGCGTTCGGGGTATTTTTTTGGCCTTTCCTTTGTGACCTCAGGTGTTTCACTCTCCTTTTTACGCCAGCAACGTAGTATCGGTACATTTAACCGCACTACATCCTACTGCAAACACTCTAGACACATTCGCTCAGAAATTGCTTGGCATTCCATGCATTTATTCAATTACCCTCCTTCTCACCCACCTTTCGCCACTAGTTCTGATATCAAATCGTTGTCACCTCCAACTAAAATGCATGTTCTTTCGATTTGTGCACAGTTTTGGTGAGCATCTGTAAAATACGGTCTGTCTGTCAAGCGCATTACTATCACTCCTAACTGACAAGATGCCTTTCAATTTGGTCTTCTTATTCATCGAATTATCGGCTGCGTTTATGTGTCATACTGAGGGAAAACACTCGAATTTACTTCTTTGATTTTTACTACTTCTGTGCATTTTGATCCCCTCGTAGTTGGCTAAAGCGATTCAAAACTTCACTTACTACCTTTCTATTGCGGAACCCACAAATACTTTAAGCCTATGCAATTGGTGCTTATGCCTTGCTTGTTGCTGTTGCATTATCAATGATCGCTTACTGTTGTTTCAATACTCTCAGATGGGAAGCATCCATTGTACTATATCTCTGTGCACAACCACGATGCCACACTGCCGTCCCAATACTTTCTTCTCTCTAACTCCATCGAGATCCTCCTTCATGGCAGCTTCATGTTTTCCACAGCCCGCTCCATGGCGTCTCACCACCCAGTTTTCTTAGGGCCCTCTTGTTTTCTTTATTTTACCGATATCAAAAAGTAGCACATCGTCCTCACCTTCAACCCTTACCATGTACCTGCTGTCGCTTCTGTCACTCTATGACAGCCCTCTCACTTGCCTTGTGCCAATGTGACTCGAAATACAAGCACATTTTTCGACTCACTGGTTTCAACCTGTTGTTTTGTTTATCACTGTGTTCTCCTTGGGCCATTGCGACGTTGGGTTGTGGCATTTAACAGTGTAGTACCATTTTGTATTCCATATTTACGTAGGTTCTATGGTTTAAGTATTTGGCACTGCACAATGTGGAGAGAGGCGTAACAACATCCTGCGTTTCGGTTGCATGTTTTCTAGAATCAGTTCTCTTCGGTTGTTACTCACGCTCTTTGCCAAGTGGCGCAAATACATTTACTGTGAGACTTCAACTGCTTTCCGCGCTGCTAAACATGTGATCCCCGTTTTCATCGAGAGAACAGCCTAAGGCTACGTTTGTACGTCATTCTCGTGAGTATCGTCCTTAAGGGCCTTAAAAATCCTGTGCAGGGTTAGATCAGCTGATTAACCCATTAGACATTTTGGGGTGAGGCTGCACAGTCGATGTTACCGTGTCACTCCGAAGGATGTTTACTGCCCTAACTGTCCCACGAGAAACGTAACTCAAATGGGATATGACAACAGTCATGTTTGTATCAACTGGTTCATCTTTTGTACTAACCTGCTTGGCGATTCATTGGGTTGCGGGTCAAATTTACATCATATATGCTGTGGTATTTGTCTTTTTTAAATACCCATTAATCACCTATTCAAATAAACGATATATTCCTCGATGGTGTGAGGCACGATTCGACTGACTATCCGTTTTCGAAAGGATACCGCATTCTGCGGAATCGAACTTGGCAATAAAACGCAAAACATTCAATGTTCGCTTATTTGACTGCATCTGTCAAATCATCCACCAAGTTGGTGTAAACTGTCGGAATGCTTGAGGCATCTTTGGAAAGGCTGGATACATTTAAATCTCAATTCTCTGTGTCATGCTTAGATTTGCGAGTGTCAGTTAGTACCCTTTTGCCTCTAGTTCATAAATAAATAAGCAGTTTATTTTCGACAGTTCGAGATGCGCGTGCGTAGGCATGATCATTGTACACTGACAGCGAATGTGCAAAAGTGTCACCTGTTTTCCTGTAATATACGTCGGGATGAATGAGCGAAGACATGCTACCGCTGATGCCTCCTTTCTTTCTTCTTCCGATGCACATTCTCTTCTAGCCCTTATTTCAACTAACCTACAACTTCTTCCACTCCAGGTCATACCACCAGCAATTGCCTGTCGTAATTGTTTGCTCACGCCCAAAGCGGTCATCATCGGATGCTGGAGCGTGCGCGATGGAACTCGTGCGCTACGACCTCCACATTGCCCCACTGAGTGAGACTCGGCCTACTGACCAAGGAAGTTTGCAGGAGGATGGTGCTGGGTACACGTTCTACTGGGTGAGAAACGCCACCACAGCACCAATGCTGCCATAATGAGCCTGTCCGTTTTAGGTGCCCTTAGGAGTGTATCATGAAGACTGGTAGAACTATTCAGTTGTGGTGTTTTCCGAGCTGAGCAACTTGATTGCAAACGTTTCGCCAGCATTCGAGGTGGCATCTTCAGTGCAGGATTGATAGCAGTCAGGTAGCAAGAACTGCTAGAAAGCAAACCCAATGATTGTAGAACTGGTCCTTGACTGCATCTGACCTGTGGTCAGTGGGGGCATAGGCGGATGTCACAAAAATATCACGCTTATCGGCTCGATGTCTGCTAACCTTGCATGAGCCACGGAGGCGACTGTTGATTGGAATCCATTCAAGGAGGGTGGCCTCGGCTCTAGCACTGAGGGCAATTCCAACATCAGCTTGCCCAGAAGCGGCAGACAGCGTCACCAGAAAGCCGGAAATTAAAACGGATGTAAGGGTGGATTAATGACAGCTAGTAAACTGTGTTGGGATCCTGAAGTCGTGTCTCGTTCTCGCAGCCGACATCAATTGCAAGGATTTCCAAGGTGCGCGCCAATCCCACTTGTTGTGCGATCTGCAGTATAGTGCGCACGTTCAGCTTTGCTAGTTTTAATCACATTCCAGGTCGCAGTAGCGAGTATGGCAGACTTCGAGGCCGGCAGATCCCTGTCGAGGACTGTGTGGATGAGTTGACCGGTGGCGAGAGAACAACTTCATCGGCTGAGGCAGGGTTGTTCACAGTTTAATACTCAGGTAACAATGGGGATGATTGTTACATAGAAAGAGTATGCACATTGGTGGCATGTGTTTGTAAAGTTTTCGTACTCACAGGAAAGTGGATCACGAGAGCGTAGTTGCGTGTATCCATGGCAAGATCTCGCAATCAATGGTGGACGTGTTGCAAGACACTACTCCCGTACTTACAGCTTTCCTTTTCCTCTCTCTTTATCCTTCCGTATTTTGCGTATTCATGCACTGTGGCCACATCACATCCTTACTACTATTGGTGGAGTATATATATATATATGGCGCGAGAGCCTGTGGTGCGCTGAGGCTGGTGTTGGCTAGATCCTGACGGATGGTCTGCCCACTGTTGCTACTGTCATGCCATTGGCTCATGTCCTGGACTCCTCCTCGTGGCGACCGCTGGGTGGAAGTTGGGTTACCCCCTTCTCCCTGTTAAGATCCAGGACACCAATCCGCACGAGTCAGTGAACTGACCACGTGCTAGACCTGCTGCCTTTCGAGTGTACGTTAAATCGAAGGCTTTAGCTGAGTACCTGAGTCGTTCTCCTCTCAAGTGTGGGCGCCCTGCCTGTATCCTAGTCCATCCTCTTCGGAGGTTAGGAAGTGGTCGATGACCCTCTTCCCGTAAAACCTAGCCATGGGAGACAACAGGTCTACGGGTTATAAGCTCACAACTCGATTAGGCGTAGAGCACGGGCGCCACGCATTGTCTCTGACGGTGGGAGGGCACCTCCGGGTGTTCACTGATTTGCTACTGCCCGCCTCAAGCCAGACAGCTTGTGGTCAAATTGGTGCAAACCCGCCAAAACCCACCTGCGTCTGGTCGTGGTCGCAGGTGTATCCTACTACAGTTGCCACACATATATGAATCGTTCCAGTACCTCAAAGGCTGTGTGTGACAGCCGTCAAGCAGATTCCAGTATGTCTCTGCAACCACATTCCCCAGCTGGATCGGCTCCCAACTGCTTTGTGGGTCAGGCTATTGAGCCAAAGGCTTCAGGTGAGTCTCTCAAACAAACCTCCATACCACCCACTGCCTTTTGGCTCTGGTTATTGATCCAAATTCTCCGGGTAGAGTCCCTCAAGCAAACCTCCAAACCACTTACTGCCATGTGGCTCTGGTTATTGATCCAAAGACTCCGGGTGGAGTCCCTCAAGCAAACCTCCGAAGCGCAACCATCACCACACGCGCGAACGCCCACCAATGCAATCGTTTGCCTGCGCGCAAAGCAGTGGACATCGGGTGCTGGAACGTGCGCACACTACTGGACCGGAACTCGCTTGAGCGCCTCTGAGCGACGCGCACTACACTGGTCGCGATGGAATTGACGCGGCACAACATCGATATTACGGCGCTCAGTGAGACCCGGCTCGCTGCACAAGGTAAGTTGCATGATGCTGGTGCTGGCTATACGTTCTGCTGGGACAGAAACGCCACCTCAGCACGACGTGAACATGGGGTCGGATTTGCAATATCCCATCGCCCAAATAACCAGCTGGTGGCTGAGCCGAATGGCCTCAGTGCGCGATTAAGGACTGTTCGCCTACGACTCGGAAGGGGTAAGTTTACCACTTTTATGAGCACGTACGGTCCGTCGATGTGTTATCCTAATGACATGCGTGATCAATCCTACGCTCAGCTATCCTCCGTGATACGGTCTGTGCCGGGAAGCGACTGACTTTCTGCTGGATGATTTCAACGCGCGTGTTGGCGTAATGTATCCATGTGGACAGATGTCATCGGTCTGCATGGCATTGGTTCAGCGAATGCTAACGGTGACAGGCTGCTCTCACTGTGTGTCACTCAGGGCCTGACGATTGTAAACAATCGGTTTACACTGAGTGCGAGTTATGTAACTACTTGGGGCTCCTGTGGAACACCATATTGATTGGTTGCTGAATATCCGTCGTTTCGGGTCGAGAACCCTAGTGTGTGAAACAACTATCCGTATGTTGCCGTTTGTTGACGACGGTGCGTTGTTTGCGCATAGCGCGGATGAGTTGCAACACACGACTAGTACTCTGACTTTAGCAGTGGCCGAATTCGGGTTCACCATCAACACAAGGAAGACTATTTGTCTTTTCCAGCCTTCACTGGGAATGGTATCCGTGCACCTGCCCTAAATCCAGATTGCCGCCGAAGTGTTGGAAACCACTTCGAGATTTTGCTTCCTTGCTAGCGTAATAACAGCTGACCAGCGGATGACGAGCAGGCTACACAGCCGCGTATCGAAATTTTCTGCTGTTGGCAAACTGGTATGTAGTGCGTGGAACAACTACCAGCTTATTGTTGGGACGAAGCTGCTGGTATATAAGTCTGTGGTGCTGTCCGTTCTTCTATACGGCAGCGAAACCTGAACACTTTTTCGGTCGGATGTCCGATATCTGGAGCGCTTCCATCAGCACTGTCTGCACCGTATTATGCGCATCGGCTGGACTGATCGAGTTGCAGACACGGTTGTGCTCCGACGCAGTGGCATGTATGCAGTGGACAGCATAATTTTGCTGATACACCTGAGATGGCTCGGACCTATTCACCGCATTGATTGGACGCCGCTACCGAAACAGCTGCTTTATGGCCAAACTACATGCAGGGAAACGGCACGTGGGGAAACCGAAGTTACGTTGCCAGCGCTTGATCAAAGTGATCCTATCACTTTCTAATGTTGATTGCAGGTCATGGGAATCGAAGCAGAGGGATCGGCGTGCATGACGCGATCTGTTCACGAAGGCAGTTGCCGAGTTGCAAGAGAAAGCCCTCATGCCTACAGAGAAGAAGCGGAAGTTGTGGAGGCGACAGGCGTCCATGGGCTGTACTCCGTCGACTTCCAGCGCATATTGCTGTAGCACGTGCGGTCGCGAATGCTTGAGTCAGGCAGGTTTAGTGTGCCAGGAGTGAGGCCACTGCGGTCCAGCATCGAAACG